TGCAGCACGTGCGGTCGTGCAGAGGAGGAGGGCGCTGCTGAGGGCAGCGCCATAGCCCAGCCACCATAGCTGGTGGGCTTGGACTACAGTGAAGCACAGGGGTGGTCTTCGGGTGACAGAGAGGACAGGTGTGGGTGAAGTCAGGGGATAGGTGAAGGATGATGATGATGATGTGAGGGCACGTACCTTGTATTGGCGATGGTCTGCATGGGTTGCATTGTCTTTTTGTAGTCTGTAGTAGCTGTGTAGGAGTAGGCTGGGCGCTGAGCGCCACGTGTGAGTGTAAGGGAACTGGACTCTTGTGTTGAGAGGAGAGAGTGTGCTCTCCACGGACATTGGTTTTCAGTGCTACGAAACTCCATTGGTGTATTATTGGTGCAATGCTGCTATCTGGACACGGTGTGACTATTTGACTTGCAATGTGATGGTGTGATCTGGGATTGTCATCTCGCTGTTGCTTATTTTCCTTGCATGATAAAGTTGATGGAAAGAAAAGGGAAGCGAATGACGGATTTCTTCCTTCTAGGGGAAATGTCTCTGACTGTACTTTCTTTCCCTTGCAGGTGTCACCAAGAGCTGCTAAAGTGGAGAGTTTACGGAAGCGAATGAGAGACAAGGTTCTTGCAGGAGCTGACCTTGCCCATAAGGTGATAATTCATTCCTGCAGCAATGGCCAGGTTCAAAGAACCGAAAAGGCACCCACAATTCTAGTTAGCACTCTTCCATTTTGCAACCGAAAAGCATACCGCAATTGAGCTTCTTTCTGAAAAAAAGGCTTTTAAACCACCACTACCTCCGAGACTGTTTTTGCCGACCCTGATTTTCACTGCGCACCGAGTTTGGCCGAGCCGGGGCAGTTTCATTGAAGAAAGAAGAAGGGGAAAAAAAAGAAAAATAAAAAGAAAAAAAAGAGACTTCCCGAACGCCTTGATAACCACCAGATACATTCGTCCAAGCACTTGTGTGACTGTGCCCTCAGTGAGGGCATGTACGGGAAAAAACAGAGAAGCAACAAAAAAAAAGAAGAAGGAATCCTTTTTCCTGTGATTGAGGGCAGATACATGATGCTACAGCAGTGAGACAGTTACATGCCACCCGTGAAACACGCCCTGCCTGGCTGGCAGGGCACTACAAGGATTTCAAAACAAAAAGAAAAGAAAAACGACCTGCAATCCCTTTTCCGACATAGTAGCCAGATACATTCGTCCAAGCACTGGTACAACTTTCACCCTCTTGAAGGCCTTTCCCGACATCCCTGGAGTGGGGACTCTTCGTTTTCTTTCTGTTTTTTTCTTCTTTTTTTTTTCTTTTTTTTTCGTCGGCCTCCAACCCTGCCCCGAGCCCCGTGTTTTCAGGAGTAGGCTACTAGATGGACATTGAGTTTGCCTGGGAAAGGTAGTGGTGGTTTAACTCCAGACACCTGAAAGTTCCAAAAGTCTCTGAGCCCAAGTCTCAACAGGATAGGTCCGATAGGTTAGAAGGGGCGTCGGAAGTGCAAGTCGGGCCTATGTCCGGAAAATTCGAGTCAGCCTACAGTCAGTCCGGTAAAGACAGAAAGGTCCAGAAGGTCCAGTCCAGTCCCCAAGTCCACAAAAATTGCAGCATGTCCCAGGTGCAAGGAAGATGAGCAATAGCGAACTTCAGAAATCAAACAGCATCATACACATGAGACCAGATAGTCGTGACCTCGAACCAATCGCAGAATTGCATCAGGAGTTCCACCAAATAAGCATACAGCAAAAGCTCATAATTGACAATGCTGGAATAGTCTCATCATCATCATCGAAGAACCAATGTCAATATCCTATCTGGCGCTCGGCGCCCAGACTACAGTTGGCAGATCCTATCTAGCCTAATCTACAATGCTAACGATGACGTCAACAGCTCCCCGAAGTACGAGCAGATCTCGGCCAATGCCGCACGCTTCAAGCACCAGGTATGTCTCTCGTGTCACTCACAACCTCGTTCCCCAACTCACAGATGCCACATGCACCCAAGGACCACCATGCGCCCCATCCAGCATACAGCAGTGCAGCTCGGCTATGGCTGCCTGCTCCTTCCAGCTCGCCCGTGAGCGCGTGAGCGCTGGACAGTGTTAGCACAGCAGCGCGTGTGCAGCATGCAGCCAGTACCCGAATGTCCAATGCGTGGGCAGGCCCTTCCCTATATCGAAGTGGCCTGCTGCTGCGTGCTGTGTTGCAGCACTGGGCCCCGACCCAGAAGCTTCCGGTAGGCCCCACGAGGCTGAGCCTCAATCCAAATGCAACAGGCCCAGGCCCTGTGGTGGTTGCTAGTGCCCAACTTCCCGCAGCCTGAGTTGGGTCCATGCTGCGTATGTCGCCCAGGGCCTGACTCAGATGCATTTGATAAAGGAGGCCAGGGCCTGGGCGCTTTCAACCAACTGGCCCTGCGCAACTGCCTGAATTTTCCCCCAGTTGCGAACTAGTCCAAAATAGGCCTCTTGTCGTCTGTCAAGCCTGCCTTCACTTAGGGCGGCCAACGCTGTTGCAAATAGGGGCCTCACATTCCCCCCCTCCATACTTCGCTAGTCCTTTGAGAAGTTTAATCAATCTGGCGCTTTCCCTTCTGGAGTAACTTCTTGTAGTGAGTGACAACCTGTGGAGCAGTCTGCATCAGTTCCTCCCGTGTAAACCATCTATCCTCCTTAGGATCAGTGTGATGTCTGAACCGAACGTGATACTGCAGCTTCGGTTCCGGAGGACGTCCCCTGCCGGTAGGTCTTGGAACTGGCATTTCTCTGTGATCCATGATGTTGTCGATGTCGACTTCTCCATCCATGGTTGGGGGCAGCATTGAACGATGAGAGGGAAACTGGTCAGTTTCCTTGAAAGGTGCAAGCTTGGAGGCGTGAAAGACAGGGTAAGTGCGAAGATGACCAGGGATCCGGATAACATAGGATGGCCCATCCGGATCTTCCCCTACAACATCCAGAACCTCCCATGGTCCAAAGTACTGTGGCATGAGCTTATGGGAGATCCCGTGCTCCTGTCCCAGTTCTGAGGATTTTACCCAGACTCTGTCCCCTACCTGAAATGTAGAAGGGCGGCGGTGTTTGTTCTCAGACTCTATCATTGCCGTCTGTGCCTTATGCATCTGTTCTACTGCCTGCTGCATCAATTGTTCATAGCGATAGGCAAACTCAAGTGTGCCCGGTGCAGCAGTTGACTGATTGTCAGGTAGTAGAAAGTCTAGGGGCAGTCTAGGCTTGAAAGTCAGTAGCAGACTGTTAGGACCTACTCTAGTGGTGCTGTGCACAACGTTGTTGTACAGGCTGGTGATGAAAGCAAGTTTCTCATCCCAGTCCACCTGATTGGGCTTAATGTAGTGCCGCAACAGGTGTTGTACAGCGCGGTTCAGCTGCTCTGCTTGGCCATTGGCCTCTGGGTGGTTCCCAAAAGCCATCTGCAGTTGTGTTCCCTGTTCTGCAGCTGCATCCTTCCACAAATCACTGGTGAATCTGACATCCCTGTCACTCACAATAGACTTTGGAAGCCCAAAGTCTCTGAGCCAGTTTTCTTTGAACAGCTTGATCACATACACGGTCTTAGCTGTAGCACGCATTGCAACTAATCTAGCATACTAAGCCATACTTACTAAACCTATCCACGATGACATAGATATACCTCATTCCACTCTTGCTGGTGACCAGCGTGTCCATGAAATCCATAGACAGGCTCTCACCGGGCCTTTCCGGAATCGGAAGGGGCTTGAGTAGCCCAAGAGGGGCCTGTGTACGTGGCTTGTCTCTTTGACACACCTGACAAGTCTCCACGTACAGCTTCGCATCTTTCATTATTGTGGGCCATCAGAATCGCTGCACTAGGTTGGCTGCAGTCTTCTTGAAGCCAAAAAGTCCGGTGGTATCATGACACTCACCTAAAAATAAACTACGCAAAAACTCTCTAGTAGGAACACACAGACGCTTATTCCCGACGTTCTTAAGGAACAGCAGGCTGTTGACCAACTCAAACTTGGCAGAAGTCTCTTTGTCCTTCATCTCGAGTCTGAGTATGATCTCGGCCATAAACGGGTCCTCACGATAGGCATCCACCAAAGACCGAGTAACATTGTCCAGAAGCCCAAATTCGGTGACCAGCGCACTAAGAAAGTCTGGTCTACGCGACAGCGCGTCAACAACTTTGTTGTACTCCCCCTTGATGTACTGGGGTTTGAAGTCATACTGCTCAATGACTTCGATCCAACGCTTCAGAGCGTCGAAGAGTACCGGTGAGTCTTCATCCATCTCAAGGTCTGATGATCAGTCCTGACATAGAAGAAGTGACCTAGGAGGTAGTGCCTCCAGTGGGTTAGCGCTTTGTAGATCGCAAAGAGCTCCTTCTCATAGGTGGACTTAGCCAACTTTTGAGAGGGCATCTTTTTGGACATGTACTCTACCGGCCTCAACTTCTTCCCCTCCTACTGACCAAGTACGGCGCCTATGCTATATTGGCTAGCATCTGTAATCACTACGAAAGGTTTGTCAGGATCAGGAAGTTTCAAGACCTCATGGTGTGTCAACGCATGCTTCAGATGTCTGAAAGCAGCCTCACACCTGTCTGTCCACTCCCATGGGGTGTCAAGGCGAGTCAGGTCCGTCAAAGGAGTGGCCACTATGCTATAACTCTGAACAAAATTGCGGTAGTAGCCTGTCATCCCTCAGAAGGATCTCATCTCAGTCACAGACTGAGGACGCGGCCAGTCACGAATGCAGGCCACCTTCGCGTCATCGGGCTTCAAACCCTCCGCGAAAATCTCATGACCCAAGTACAAGATCCGGGTGCGACCAAACTCGCGTTTCTCCCCGTTGATCTTGAACTTGTGCTACCGAAGGAGACTAAGGACTTTGTCTAAGTGCGCAACATGCTCCTCGACAGTCCTACTAAAAATAAGTATGTCATCGAGGTACGCGATGACAAACTTATCCAAGTAGTCATGAAAGATCTGATTCATAGCGTGCTGAAAGGTGCCAGGAGCATTGCAGAGGCCAAAAGGCATCACCACAAACTCGTACAGACCGTACCTGGTCTGAAATGCAGTTTTGTGTTGATCCTGGGGCCGGATTGCAATCTGATGGTACCCAGACTTCAGATCTATCTTACTGAAGTACCGGCACCGTTGCTGTAGTGGACCTAGCGGTACCCTTTCGGCTTGGCAGTGAGGCCAGACCTGTTTTAGGCCGTCGGCCTGACCCCGGTCCGGTACCGGGTTACTCCGGCCTGGACCAAGGCCGGTATATCTCTCCGGCCTAGGCCCAGGCCGGGTTGGTCACTCATTCAGTTGTTCACTCGTTTCATTGAGTCGGACTGGAACTTCACTCAGCTGCTGCTTCTTATGTGTGTCCATCTGCTTCCTCTCTCTCTCGCCATCTTCGCACGTGCCCTCTGCACGTGCATCACATTGGTATCGGAGTGGGTTTCGAACCTCTTCTCCCTCCCTCCCTCCCTCTGTCGCTATCTCGCCATCAGGGATAGCTATCTCCAAGCTTGTTTTTGCAGTTGCACCTGGTCCGTCAATGCGACCAGGTACGTTCTTCATCCAAGTTGGCACCTTTCTACTCGGCAACCCCCACGACGGCGCTACTCCAGATGCTGCGGTCATCCTGCTGGCCGTCGACGCCGACCTGCTG